TTTATGCACTGGGTGGTGATGGAGAGCACTGATGGAGAAATCATACTCTGTATAAAGAGTGTGCTGCTAGTGCTAGTGCTGTTTAGTTCGTGGTGAGAACAGAGATGGCAGCCTTCTACAATTCAGGATCTAGACAGCACTATTATTTGTAATTTAAGCACTTCTGAGATGCTTGGGACTACACAATGGAGACAGCTCTGAGAATTGACAGCATAAAGACGACAGGGCCAAGCGTTATGAATAAAGGATCATTAAGTCAGCTTATTTCTAGCTGATTTTAGTTTGTGTTTTTGGTCTTTTAGACTGCACAAGCAATTTGGATCACCTTTAGCTGCTTTCCATTGGGTCCTTATTATTCCCACAATGCATAATTTTTCTCTGTATTGTTCATATCAGAAGAATGGGACTGTCTATCTATATCTTCTCATTCAAGTCAATGGAAAGACTGTCTTACAGTGTTCTACTGTGTCTTTAGGAAGGCTTCTGGATGTTATCAGCAAAAAAGGCTTGAAGAATACCACATTCATTTATTTTGCATCTGATCATGGAGGAGCCTTGGAGGCTCGCAGTGGAAATTCCCAGCTAGGTGGATGGAATGGGATCTATAAAGGTAAGTAAGTCCCTTAAAAATAAACTGATATAAAGTATGTCCAGAGAGGCTGTATTCACAAAGCTATATGCTGGCATTACAATCTTCTATTGTGTGGCTAGACCAAGGCTAGACCAGGCAAGACCAAGCTACTCCTGACAGGAGTATTATCTAATTCTTGTAGACTTCCAGTAATTCCCCAACTATATCGCTCTTTATTGTCTATGCTGCTAGAGTATTTTTCCTATATTTAGCCCAGATCTCCTTAAACTGCAGCAAGTCTTGCCCTATCCATCAGTTCTGCAGATAACAGATTCTTTTCTCCATGCAATACTTTGTTGTTTCAAGGCGAATCATTTCTTTCCACACTGGTACTTTCCCTTCTCCTTCATTTTTCTTTAGACTCCAGTGCATGTGTAATGCTTTCTAGCCCAACATTGTTTACAAATACAGTAAGCAGGCTATTTATTCCACAAGCCAAGACTTGAAAATGTAGTATCAGATCCAAGATTGAAGTTTTACTTCACCATTTGGAGTCTTACTTCAAACATCCTTCTCTTTTCATAGTGGAGAATTATTTTTGTCACCACCGGCAGTGATTATAGTCACTGATAACTATTTCCTTGATAAAGTTTTTAAGTTTCCCTATCAATCACACAGATGTTTCATCTAGGCTGTTTCTATAATTTGCTTATGAGTATATTGAAAGTTATATGAAAATGAAGATCTCTGACAGCTCTCTTCCCCTCCCTCCATACGATATGCTGCTTTAACATAGTTACAATCAGTGATTATGTTACTTGACATGCTTTGTTACTCATGTTTATTTCTTTCCAGGTGCTTAAAAATAATAGTGTTATTCATAGCAGAATTTATTCAAGGAGTCTTTTATTCTGTCTTTTTTTTTTCCAAGATAAACATAATTGCTTGCCTTTCTCTAATCTGATACTCTAGGCATCCTGCATAACTTTTCAAACATAACCTCTAGCCAATCTTCAATCAGCTAATGCTATAAATGCTGCAAATATTCATCAGGTTTAGGCCATTTGAAAACATTTACTTCATTCTGTATTATGTTTTATTATACCATTTTGCCCTTAGTCAAGGCTGACATCTTACCCAAAAGCCAATAGTGTTGACTTTGCTGGTTATCTGGTAACAGTTCATCTTTATATCAAAGGCTTGTGCGGAAATATCATTAAACATTTCTGCTTTCTTTCCTGTCTCTGCTTCCCCACTGAATAGAACTAGACGTTCTGCATTCTTCCTCATGTTAATTTTCAATTCTGTTTCCCATCACTAGTTGCCTCTCATTTTAGGGCCTTTGATTGGGGCATTTTTCTCCAAAAAAAACAGTCCCCTAGAAGTTCTAACCTATTAGTTGTTCAGCTTTGTTGAAGTCTGCCTTCCTGAAGTTCACTGTTTTAATTTTGTTGTTTTCCTCCTTGCTGTCTTTAGCTTTTACTGGTTTCTGTCAACCACGTTGACATTCTCTGTGAATTCTCTCACCATTAAGTGGTTTAGCTCTCTTCTGCTGGCATTCTATACCTTCTTTGTCACGTATTAGGAAATTAAGCTGATCTGGTCTTCCTCATGGAAGAACAAGGAAGACACACCACCAAAGCTGGTCAGCATCTATCGCTTTGCTCCATCCTCTTTGGATGAACTCCTTTCACCCTTCTCTGTACTTCACTGCACACAGTGAATTCAGGGAGTGCTACTTTCACATGAAAGTGTGCAGCAACACATCACAGGCTGGAGACCAAACCCATGCAATTTTTTATTGCTCCTCATTTGATGAGATTCCTGAAGCTTGACCGAGATCCTCATAATCTATCCCTTTACCTGCCCAGGCTCATGAGAAAACCCTCCAGACTCCCATGCCCAGCATAGCCACCATGATATCTCAGGCAGCTTGGCACTTAATGCCACAATGAAGCCTGAGATGATAGGTAAGTTCCCACCATTTATTTCCGTACAGGAGAAGATTCAGGTGTTTTGACGATGCTCAGCATCAAAAGGCTGCTTGTCTGCCTAGGGCTGCTACTTGATGAGCTGCACAAGCAATGTTTGGCACAGCTTAGAATTCCCTGGATCTCACTCACTAACGGTTCTAAATGTCAAATTAACCTTCAGTTCCAGCAATGAAGTTTCCAGACAAGAAAGACCAAAAAGGTTATTAGGTTCATTTGTACAGCTCAGGTTCTAGGGGTATTCACTTCTACTATCCTACAAGTATAACAGTAACAGGAGAGTCCAGATAAGCGAGTTTGATTAGATTATTTCAGTATGACAGGGATATGGTGAAATTATGCCTGCTTAGAAAGAGAGAAATCAAGGAGATATAATACCAGCTTAGAAATAAATAACAGTAAGGCATTCACATTTATCCTGTCACAGCAGCAGAACACTGTTCTCCTCAAACAGAATTACCAGTCTAAACTAAAAGGCAATGAGCTGAAAATTGATTATATAAAAATAGTTTAATTCCTAAATATCCATAGAACTCACAGCTGTAAGAATCACTCACTGTTAACAGTCAATAAAAATAAACAAAAATGATAAGCCATGCATATGGGTAATGAGAACATTTACTACAAGATAACACCCACGAGACAGTAACCTTTATCATACATAGTACAAAGGTCATTGCCCAAGTGGTCGGGCTTGCTTTATAATCCACCTTGCCACCCTGTCAGCCTTTTACAGCAAGGCCTGGAAACCTTACCTCTCAGCCATAAACTGCCTCCTCTGTAGCAAACACCTGCATTGTCTAGCAGAGCTAACAAGGCCAGTTTAACCTACTGTGCAAGGCTATTTGCTCAATAAACTAGCTTCAA